TGAACATTTCTATTTTGAATCTATCATTACTGGACATACGTGTAAAAAAAAAAACGGGGGTCTTCACCAAACGGAAGCATGGGCCCCGCCGTTGGCGCCCAAATTGTCCGAGGCAAAGGCCGGAAGGCTCGGCGGACCTGGGCGGAGTGCGTCGGCTTCCTCCGACCTGCGCTGACCTTCCTGGACGCCGTGCAGGACGCGACAGGGGTCACTTGGGCGGAGGAAAAGTTTGGAGAGTTGGGCGGATCTTTTGCCTGGAGTTCCCACGAAAACGTGGCGGTGTCCTTTGGGTGGAGGTAATTTGGGGTTTGTTGTTCTAGAGTTCCCAAAAGGAGCATGGTGGTGTCCTTTTAGTTATCTTTTTGGTGTCCTTTTGGAAGTTCAGTTGAGCTGGGCCCGTTTTGGTTGGCTTTGAAGGCAAACCAAGAGGAAGCCAAGCATTTGGGGGTCCCCCAAAAACAACAAACCCATATATGTCACCCATTATCGAACCCGATACGAGTAAGTGAAGGTTAGTTTGGGACAGTCCCAGCCAGAATGTGGTGCGGAAATCCGCCGTTGTAGTTCTTTACATTCATTTGGGTAGATCATTTTACCAGCTTTTGATTGTGACTCATTTGGGTGTATCTTTTTCCAAAGTTCCCAAATCAATATGCTGGTTTCCTTTTGGCCGATGTAGTTCGGGTGGATCTTTTTCTAGAATTGCCCCCCAATGATTATGGTGGTGTCCTTTTGGTTCATGTGCCATCGGTCACAATTTGGGTGTGTCTTTTTCCAGATCCCTCCCTCCCCCCAAGTTATGGTGGGTTTTCTTGGTGCAGGGGCGCCAAAGGATCAAATCACAGCTTGTGATCCCAGCGGATTCGGCCAAAAGGTTCCCAACTTTTCTCAGTTGTTCAGTGGCACCAATTCTTTGTCCCTTGCTTTTGGTGGCTGCCCCACTAAAAATGGTCCAAGCCCCAAAAAGGGTTCCCTTTTTTTAACCAGGGTCACTGAACAACTGAGTTTTTGTTGGGTGTTGGGTTTCCCTGAAAAAGCTCAACCAACCCAAAAAGGGATGCCAATGAGTTCTTGACCTTTCGGTTTTCCCAAACTTTTTGGTCCATTGAGATGGCCGGAGACTGCTCCGCTTCAGAAAGTTGACCCCATCAAAGCTCTGCTGGAGACCGTTGCTTCCAGTTACTAAAGAAGATTATTTTATTTTCTCCTGCTGGGTTTGAAGGGAATCTATCACCACTGGAAAGATGTTCATTTGTTCCAGGAGGCTTATGCAAAACGGAAGGCCGGGGTCATGTTGTTGACGATGTCCGGGTTATAAAAGTCAACTGTGGGTCAAAACCGTTTTGGGATCCCATCTTGGGGTAGGTGCACCAGCCATTTAGAACCGATCTTGGTGGGGATGTTCACTAGGGCTCACCGATTTGGATTTTGACCCATGGCCTGCGGATGTCGCCCTTTCGGCTTTTGCTTAGGGAGTGGCTTGGAGTCCTGCAGCCTCCCCTGTGAGATCGAATACCTTGGCTTGCGACTCGATAGGTTGCCACGGATTGGTCGGACTTGCTCTTGTGTTAAATGAGAAGCAGCCCACCTGTGCGTGTGTGTGTGTGTGTGTTTTAGGATAAGTCTGCTTGCGGTTGCTTCAAAAGGAAACCAAGGAGAAAGCAGGTGCCGGGACTTTTCGTGCACAATGTGTGTGTGTGTTTTAGGGATGCTTTTGTTGGGTTGCTTCCAAGTGAAACCAACAAGAAACCTGGCTCCGGGACCCATGCGAAGCTGAAGCGCACCAAAAACCAACTGCAACTCACGCGCAGAACTGGGTCTTTGATGTCTTCGATGGCACCATAAGCTGTGGCCTCAGATCTGAGATCACCCTTCGTTGGTTTGGATTTGGATTTGAACGGGTCCCTGGCTTGTGTAGAGGGTAAATGGGGTTTACCTGCGGAACACCACCAAACCGATCCAAACCACCAATTAGAGGGAAGCTGAGCAGAGTGGGCTTGGCATGGTGGCGATTTGACGTTGAACCTACGGCAAATCCAAGGTCTGATGTCCACCAAAGGGTCCAGTTCGAACTGGAACTTAGTTGGATGTGTGTGTGTGAGGTCCGTTTGCATGGCGAAATGGCAAGGCCCGTGACTCAACACAGGAAGTCCTTTCCCATCCATCTTTTCGAACTCCAAAAGTATTGTCGGGTCCCACCATGGGCCGATTTTCCGTTAAGACCAGCTTCATGAACCAGGACGATCTATTTCACATTCTTTGGGCAGCTGAAAGCGTATTCCTTCCCATGCAGGATAAAAGTTGTACGGTTCGGATCGTTTGAGGCAGCGCTTGCCACAAGCGAAAATCGAAGGGCCAACTTCATGAATACCCGAAATGGACATACCCCCAAATGAGAGGGCCTCGCACAAGTTATAGAGGGTACATACCTCAAAAACCATCCCTTTTCTTGTGGCCTATAGGTGTGGTATGTCCATGGGTATGTCCAGGTTGGATTTTTTTCTGCAACGAACACCTGAGTGTCCTCTGCAAAAGTTCCCTTCATACCTCCGGAGGTTCGAAAAAAACCAAGTTCGCAAGTTGTCCGCCACTTATAACCCCCGAAACAGTTCAAGGTGATCCCCACTTACTGGGGATGGACTTAGTGGGTTAGGACCTATGCTTTTGCATTAACTTACCAGCTTGGCGCATCGAAGGAGTGTTCGAAGGTGTGGAAATAGGAGAAACAACTCAAGCGGGCGGCTTTCCATGTTGGTGTCCCTTCACCGCCCAGAAAACGGTCTTGCAATGTGAGCAAAAACGGTTTTCGAGCCGTGGGCTTCCCCTCCAGCACCAAAGGTGGTACCCTTCTGACATGGAATCCACCGGAGGGTCCTTTTTAAAGCAACATCGTCTTCTAGGTCCCCCAGCTTGGTGCCCTTTTACGCTTTTTTGGTAAGGAAGGGTTCCACTAAAATAGACTACCGAAAACAGTTGGTACCCTTATTCTAACCTCTCAAATCTGGAGGACCTAGTCTAGGCCCCCGAAACGTCAGATTGCGTGGGATTCCGGCACGGGATAGGTCTAACGTGGGGCATAGCGCGCCACCGGGGGCCACCGGGCAGGTGAGGAGCAAGTCTCGCAAGCTGAGAAGATGGCCAAACAGATGGGCGCAGAGTTTTCTCCTCAAGTTCTCAACAAAACGAGTTGCGCGCTCGGTCCGGGTGTGGCCATGCTGAATGCATGCTTTGGGTCATTCAAGAGGCAAACCGTGCGTGCGTGTGTGTGTGTGTGTGTGTGGCGAGGGTTGTGTGTGTGTGTGACATGCTTTGTGTTGTTTGCGTGTTGTATGCGGCGTGTTGTATGCGGCGTGTTGTATGTGGTGTGTGGTGTGCGTCGTGTGTGTTGTGAGTGTTGTGTGTTGCGCTTGCCGTGTGTTGCGTGTTGCGTGCATGCGCGCTCATGCCTGCGTGCGTTCTGAGTCAGTGACTCAGCGTGTGTTGCTTCCGGCGTGTTTCAGCCCCAAAGGTCTGGTGTCGGGTGTCCTTAAGCGACAATCAAGGCTGAGGGCAGATGAGGGTTGCTAGGAGGGGCAGTTGGTACATAAGTTGGTAGGGGGGAAGGTCCCCTTGCAACAAATGCGCAAAGCTGGTGGCCTTGATTGTTTTCCATGGGCTTTGCCTTTAGTATCCTTCCATTTGGTTAAGACTTTCTTATTGTCTGTTGGTTTTAAAGGGAATCTATCACTACTGGAATGGATTTAGTTTTTTCCAGGGGACGAATCAGCAAAAGGAGGTATCTTTGATCGGGACTCTGCAACCGTTGGACAGTCCCGCGGCCCGACGGGAGGAGACCTGGTTCATGTCACTGGCTAGAGCCACCTCTCCCACAACATGTTGGTTTCTGCAGTTCCCCACATTTTGCTTAGGAAAAGTGTGGGCGTTGCCCCAAGCACTCGTCTGATCCTAGTTTGTGTGGTTGATTTCAGTTGAAGATCAACACCCATTTGAGCGTAGACAAGCCTGGCACACGGGAAGGGTTGGGACAGGCTCTTTGCATGCGCAACACCCATTTGGGTATGGGTCAAAGTTAAACCACCAAATTTTAGTTTGAGTTTCCTTTTACCGATCGGGAAAGCCATTTTGGGGCTACTTTATTTTTGACCACACCCATTTGATTTCAGGGTAGACAGCCCCCCCCCCCCCCGCCCCCTTGAGACGCAAAATAACACCCATGTCATTTGAGTGCAGACAACCCGGGCACAAGGGACGGGTTGGGACAGGCTCTTTGCATGCAACACCCATTTAAGATTTTGCTTTCGGGTAGACCGCCCCCTTGAGACTCAAAATGGCCATGAAGTTTGATAGAAAACCACCTCAAAAGTGATTGGTGGACATGAATCCCCACAATGATGTCCACCAAAGGGTCCCTTGTTGAAATTCACAGCATGAGTCTTCCCGCTCAGGCTGGGTGGCGGCGCTTCTTTGCACTTGGGCCATCGGAGCGCTGCGATTCTATCGCGACTCAGCTCTTCAGTGGCACCAAGTCTTTTTACTTTTTTTGGTGGCTGCCCCACTAAAAATGGTCCAAGCCCCAGAAAGGGTTCCCTTTTCTTAGTTGTCACTGAACTGAGGCGAAGATCTCCCCCGATTCACCGGGACCTCGCTGGAGCTCGAAGACGCGGCGCCGATGGCCTTGTACTTGAAGGACACGGCGGTTTTTGAGCCATCGGGGGTTTTCTTTGGAGAAAAACCTACACCGACAGGTGGGTAGACGGATGGATGGATGGATGGATGGATGGATGGATGGATGGATGGATGGATGGATGGATGGATGGATGGATGGATGGATGGATGGATGGATGGATGGATGGATGGATGGATGGATGGATGGATGGATGGATGGATGGATACGGAGCCAGGTTCCGTTCTTTGGGAAAAATACACACCGATAGGTCGGGAGGTAGATAGCTCGATACGTAGATGGATGGAAGGATAGATAGATTGGTTGATTGTAAGACAGACAGATAAGCGGATACAGAGACAGACAGCTAGATAGATTAGGTAGATAGATCAGATTAGACAGGCTATACTAGATTAGGTTAGGTTAGATAAGACTGGGTTAGACAGACAGGGCGGATAGACAGATGTATGGCCAGATTAGAATGAATTGTACAACTAGATGGCTACATCACATTAGATAGATCGGTTGGATTGATTAGATTAGACTACATTAGATAGGTGGACAGATTCAATAGATAGATAGATAGATAGATAGATAGATAAACAGACATTGATAAATGAGATTGGTAACTAGGTGAGATTGATAGATGGGTGGCAGAGCGAGAAAGATAGATGGCATGATAGATAGGTAGATAGAGAGATAGATAGAACGATAGATGGATGGATGGATAGGTAGATAGATACGAGAGACATAGGCACATATACAAATAGAGAGATGCATCGATTAGATTGGGTCAGATTCGCATAGATAGATAGATAGATAGATAGATAGATAGATAGATAGATAGATAGATTAGATTGATACATAGGAGAGATAGATGGATAGGTAGACGGATTAGCTTAGATTGATAGATGGATAGATAGATAGGAAGATCGGTAGGCAGGTAGGAATAGATAGGACACAAACGGATCCGATCTCATGCTGGGGGGAAAGGCAAACCATCTGCAGGTCAAAAAGTTCCCAATGCTTCCAAGGAAAGCCATCGTGTAGTCTCATCAGTATACAGCACTTCCGGGGCCGCTGCGACACCTTTGGCGTATCCTCGATTGAGCGAACTGTAACTTTCTACTGCCTGCCATGAGCTCCGTTCCTCAGTCAGACGCCGCGTTAGAGGCGCCTCGATTGTTTTGAAGGTCTCCTCCAGCATACTGAGCGGGCGCCAGCCGCCTGAAGGCTTCGCTGCGTGCATCTGCAATGCTATTTTGAGGGCCGGGGCGACGTGGCCTAGAGACCGCTGCAGATCTACAAACCTCCAGTACATGCGTTGGACATGGGGCGGGTAGAAGTCTAGGTACGCAAGCTTCCAGCCAGAGGGACCGGGGCGAGCACGCTTCAAGAGGTAGAAACTTCCTACTACAGGGGTACCTGGAAGCACTGGAGTTGTTACTATACCTTCGGTGGATATGTGTGTTTGCCTACAGCAGGAATTCAATGATATATTTGAACAGCAAGTGTATGACCACCGTTGCAATCAAACAGGCTCAGACGCAAGGCTCACGCAATTCAAGTGCAAAAGTCGAATGATGTTTTAGAGATTCCCGGGCGGGAGCAGGCGTCTTGCTTTGTGTAAATGCATGCGTGCTGTGTGTGTGTGTGTGTGTGCGTGTTTGTGGAAGAGCATACGGAGATACACAGGTTTGCAAAATGTGACTTGCTAAATGTTTACCTTTGTCAACTGCTTTTTGTTTCAGATTCTGGCTCACGCGCCGGAAGCCCGATCCGGTGAAATGGTTGTGACCCGGATGTTGCCAGGTACAATGTTGTCTGGAGCCTCTAAAAACATGGGCCCAACAGGGTAGAGCATTGGTCGGTTTCGGTAGCGATTTCGGCCTGAAATTCCTGTGGGTAAGAGGCATGGGATGTAGCGAGACCTTGGCTCCCTGTCCAAGGTAGTTTGAACTACAACTGAGTGTTTTCCCCCCAGAGCCCTTCCCCCCCCCGCTGAATCCAGTGATGGCGTTGCATGGCTTCAAAATGTATTTATTTCTTTGTGACCCTTGTGTTGAAATTGGGGGAAGTTTGGGTGGACAACATTTAGGGATTTACGTCCACCAACCACTTTTTAGGTGGTGCCCAACTAAAATGCATAGCTGCATAGCCATATTTTCTGTGGTAGACTTAGGATACATTTTGCATTTTACCAGTGACTCCATGTGAAGCGAACAATAAACTATACATTCCATATCTGGGCCGAACTCTAATCATGTCTTGTGCTTCATGCATCCCAATTGGAAAGGACGCAGCATGCCATTTGTACCTGATCACCGACTTGCAGCCCTTGTGGCGTGCCCTGGAGTTCAACACAGACGAAAGGCTTCCAGCTGTGGCCGCGCTCGGTGTGCTCCTTGACGAAGTGAGTGGTTGCAGCTAGGGTCGGGCACGTTGTTTTAAACAAACCCATGGGCGAGTTTAAGGGAAACCAATCAGAGGGTTCTGAAGCAACAGTTTAAGCATGTTGGTACCAGGCGGCAGCTCGAACTTGTGGAAGAGACACAACTCGTCAGGCTCAAAGCATCATTTTAATAAGGGTTGGATATGGTCATGAAGCCTCTAGATGCGATTCTGACCGTCGCCTGGCAAAAGTTTGTTTGTTTGCGGGGGGCTGGTGTGGAGCAAGGTTGGTTGCTATGGGGCCCTTGGGCCAAGGGGCCTTGGCGGGCGTCAGAGCTCTAGACCAGACTGAGGGGGGGCGGGGGCAAGGGGACTGGGAGGAAAAGATGAATTTAACATGTGGAGTCATAGGGTTCCCAAATGTTGGAAAGTCCAGTTTGTTGAATTTGCTTTTAAATCAAAATATTCAAGCTCAAAACCACTTTCGAACCCCATGTCGGTATAGTTGAAATACTTGATGTAAGATTGTACAGATTAGCAAGCACACCAAAAACTAATCAAATGGTGCACTCTCAGCTGAAATCGGTTGATCGACCCAGGGGTTTGTAGGCCCCCCAAGAAACAATCGGCGGGGGAGGGGTCAGTCGCGTGAGGTTGGGGAACCGCTGCCCCAGCCAATCGCTGCCCGCCTTGGCAAAGCTGATGACCTGCAGCGATTTTAAGCTGCGCGCGGCCGCCGCGCGGGCGGTGCAGAGCGCTTGGGCGCCGGGCGATGCGGCGGCCTTGGGGAAGCTCGCTGAGAGGGGAGGGGAGGGGTGGGTTGGGGGGGTTGAGGCTGGGTTGGGGAGAAGGGGTTGGAGGTGTTGGGTTGGGGGCGGGGTGTTGGGGGTTGCGGGGGGTGTTGGGGGTTGGGGGGGAGTGTTGGGGGTTGGGGGCGGGGTGTTGCGGGTTGGCGGCGGGGTGTTGGGGGTTGGGGAGGGGGGGGGGAGGGGTTGAAGAGGGTACGACCCTATGAAAAAAGGGCCGGGGGGGATGTTTGGGGTTTGACAGCGTTTTGAGGGTGATCCCTATTATATAGAAAAGGTGGGGGAAGTCTCAACATGGAGGACCTTTTTGTTTTTGTTTGTGTTTTGTGTTGTTTTTTTGGCTGAAAGGGAAGCCGATGTGCATGGGGATTCATGTGCCCACCAAGTCTCGGCAACTCATGTCTGGTCTGAGCAAGTCAGTGGTCAAGGTTCCAAAGTTAAGAAGCTTAGGTCCCCCAGTAGTGCCCTTTCTCACACTTTTTTTGGTTGGGAGATTCGGTTCCCCTACTAAATAGACTGCGGAAAAAAAGCTGGTACCCTTATTTCTAGCCTCTCTGCTGGAGCTAGTTTAATCAGCCGTCATTTGGTCAATTGGTCAAGTCCTGAGGATCCTTCTGAACTTCTTGCCCCGCCTGCCCAGCAACACCTTCTGCAGCAGCCAGGCCCGTTTTGCTGCTTCGTCACTCGGGCATTGCCGCCTTTTTCGGCGGCAAGAAGGAAAGTTCGGACTTGCCCGTCTCAGGAAACTCCAAGCTGGGTTCACACGGCGCGGGGAAAACGAAGCCCCCTGCCACTCAAGAGAATCCACTGGGTTCACATGCGCCAAGCCGCCGAACCGCCGAAGAACCTTCTCCCGGAGCAGCTCCCACCACCCGTTCCGGGGCCGTCGGGGCCGGAAGAGAGAAAAAGAGAAAAAAGCGAAGGCCGTGGAAGCCGTGGCGCATCTGGGCCGCGGCAGCTTCCAAGCCCTGGAGCCTTGGAGCGCTCAGGCGAAAAAATTTACAAATAAATAAATAAATAGATAATGGTTCAAAAAAAAACAAAAAAAAAGAAAAGAAGAAAAAACACACGAAAAAGGATAAGTTGTAAACCCCCAAACTCCCAACCGCCGGAGGCTTGGGACCTCATGGCTGGGTCGATTTTGGAGGGCTTGGACCTCATGGCTTGCCACTTCTCTTTTTTTGGAGGGGTGCCCCGGGTATTTTGGGAGGGCGGCGGGAAACCAACTTCTTTTTTTTTGGGGGGGGGGGAGATGGGTTTGCTGCTCAAGAAGGGACCCCGCAAAAGTCTAGAAAATTGGTTTTCGGGTGCGCGCTTTTTGCAGGGGAGTGCGGGAGAGGGCCCACATAGCTGGGTCCTTTCTCCAAAAGTCATCCAGGTTGAAGCCAATGAGCCACTTGCTCAAAGCTCATTTGGGTAGATGAAGGAAAGTGTGCGATAATCCCCTTGCCATAAATGTGTGCCTTCGCCGTAGTTCTAGCATGGTTCTGGGTAGACCAGTTTAGTACCGCTCGGTTTTGATTCTGACTCAATGAATGATGTTTCTAAACTTTGCCCATGCTTGTCGGTAGGACACATTCCCCTTTTGACTGCCTTTTTTTTTTGTTTGCTCCCCTTCCAACGTCAGCCAATGCGTGGCACGAATCACGTCAAGGCGCCAAGTTCGGGCAATCAGCCCCACCCTGCAGAATCCCAAGCTACCCCCCCATGAACCCCTGGAAGTGGACAGGTTGACTCGCATGGATGCTCAGGAGATCATCATTCCAGTGCTGAACGCAGATGCGGAAGCTGATCGAGACTGCGCTTTGGCACACTTTACAGCCCTCGAGGATTCGGCGGCGCCTCGTCCAACCGGGCCTTAGTTTGCGATTTTTTGGAGGGTACTTTCGGTTGCAAGGCCTTTTTTGGCTCAGTGGTGCCCTTTGTTCCTTTTTTTTGGGTAAGGGTTCCCCTTTAAAGTCAACCAACCCAAAAAAGATGCCCTTTCTTTCCCATGGTTACTGGGCATTTGAGTTGGTGTCATCCTTTCTTGACACCCAAGCTGAAAGCTCAGTGCAATAAGGAAGGCCCCATGGACGCCTGCGAAACAGTGCCATTTTGATCCGGGTGAATGGCCCATAGCCCCGCTGTGAAGTCAGAAAAAAATGAAATAGTTGCTTTGTTTGGGGCGGGTAATTGTTCGTTGCTTTTTCCCGGACCTATCTAAGTTTGATGGCTCAAAATCAAAAGGGTTAGGGTTACGCATGTGTTTGTCTTTGAATCCATTTACCAAGGTGCCATTATGGTACCTTTTTTTGAGCCACAACCATTTAAATTGAACCCCAGCTGTTGTCGACTCGACAATTTATTATAACAGCATGCCCACTCACGCGGGCGTCGACGCCTCAGGATGCCAAGGATGTACTAGCACGTGCCCTGACTAAATTTGGCACATCTTTTTTGAGCTGGTTGTTTTGGGTTGACCAGCATCATTTGTTCATCCGATGTTAAGATTATGTTGTTTGTTGTCTTTGGGTTTGCATGGTACTTCTCACTTCTGCAGTCGAAGTTTTTTTGGCTAGTAGGAAGGCGGGGGTTGGGTGAGCAAAAAGGTTGGCCTTTCGGCCGATCCTCTCATGAAGTGTCATGTTGCTTGTGTTTCAAACTATGTGCTTTTGTGTGCAGCTTTGCCTCCCGAATTTTTCAGAGGGCGCTTCGTGCAAGGATTGAAAATTGTACAGACGACCTTGGGACTTGGAAGGAGTGAGTCAGGTGCCCCTTTGGACGCTGGTTGGAAATTTGAAGCCCCAGTTCTTGAGGGAAAATGGGAAGCCCCTCTTTTGCCACCGCCGAACCACCAAACCACCCTTTTTGAGGGAAGGTGTGCCAACCAGTACCATTTTCAAAAAAGAATACCCGCCAAACCCAAAGGTCATAGGCAAGTTGCCCCCGTTCCAGACCAAACATCACTTAGGCCCTCCACTGTGGATGGTTGCAAAATCCATTTCGCACCACTTTGAAACCATGGATTGTTTGTTGGTATTTGCCTTGGGGAATCATCAGACATTTGGGTTTCTTAGGTGCTTCAAAATGGATTTCGCAACCATTCACAGTGAAAGGAGCACACCGGGTGATTCGTAAGTCAGCCTGGTTATAGCCCATAAAAACATCATGGGTACAAGTCATAAGTCTCCCATGTGGGTTATAACCAGGCTAGCAACAGCCACTTGCCTAACGTGCCCTGCCCCTTGAAGTGGTCAACCCCAAAAGGTTCCCTGTACCTTTTAAATCATTGGGCAGGGAATACGCATGGAATTTCCATGCTCCTTTCGAGGACCTTCCAAAAGGGCCCGCCCCTGTGAACAGGGAAGGCCCCTTGAAGTAATCTTGTTGGCTCAGCCATCCCCTCAGCTTTTCAGCTTTTCTTCCATTTAACCCGCTGAAAGTTAAACTTTTAGCGGGGGATCTGAGGGCAGCCCAGGCATGTCACACCTGACTTCTTCTTCGGGCGACTGAGGACTTGCCCGGGCGCTGGAGCAGCGCAGCACATCGCAGGTCCTGGACGCGCTGGCGATCCTCAGCCAGCGGGACTACTCCGCGGCCGTCTGGCGAAACCCTTGGGCTTGGGCGGGGAGTCCGAGCCATCGTCCCTTTCTCCTTCCCATTTCAATAAGGAAACCCTTCATTGGCTGAAATGAATATATTATATATATATATATGGTACCCCCCCCCAAAGATCGACCATTTTCTGTGTTTTATCTCTAGTGACACATCCCAGAATCTGCAAGGTCTCGGGCTTCTGGCTTCCCAACTTCATCTTGCATCTGCCTTTTGGCTGCACAGGATGAACATGTTGAAAAAACCCGAAGAAATAAATTAAAAAAAAAAAAACGGGTCCTGGGAGAGAATGCCCAGGTCAGAATCTCGGAAAGTGAATAAACCTCGGAGAAATCAAAAGAATCCAAAAAAAAGCAAAAAATCAAGGTCCTGGAACAGAATGCCCAGACCCAGTGACTATCTCTCTCAAGGCCTTGATTTTTTGTTTTTTTGATTTTTTTGATTTTCTCGAGGTTTTTCACTTTTCCAGATTCTGACCTGGGCATTCTCTCCCAGGACCCTGATTTTTTGATTTTTTGTTTTTTTGACTTCTTCGAGGTTTTTGCAGCTTCATGGGTTTCTTGCCCTTTGCCCCTGAGCATCTTCCTTGCAGTGTTGGAGCTTTGGCGTACAGAGCTGCAGTTTTGCAGCCCTGCCAAGTCTGTATTGCAACCAAGGCCTGCAGTGTTGGAACTCTTGTTGGAAACGCCTTGCTTGCCTGTAGTTTGGCAGCCTTGCCAGGGCAGCAGGGAAGCCTGCAGTGTTGAAACTTTGGCAGGTGAGGCGCTCAAGTCTTGCAGTGGCCTTAGTGTTCAACTCTTGCCAAGTGGGTTGCAGTTTTGAGCTGGAACCCAGTTTGGCAGCTTGCTTGGGCAGTGTGCTGGAAGTGCCAGTTTGGTGGTGGAAGTCTTGTAGCAGGTGGCAAGAACCCTTGCCAGGGTATTGAAACTTGGCAGGTTGGCAGGATGCAGTTTTTTGCAGCCTTGCCCTGCAGATTGGCAGCCTTGCTGGAAATTGTGGAATGTTGTGCTGGGCCAGCAACCGAGTTTCAAGCCTTCCTTGCAGTGTGGGAGCTTTGGCAGACAGAGCTCCCAAGTTTGTTTTGCAAACAGGCCTGTGTTGGAACTTCTGTTTGAACTCGCTTGTCTGTAGTTCAGTGTTGGTGCAGTTGGTTGCAGATTGGATTGGCAATTTTGCAACCTCCAGGTCTGTGGTTTGGCAGCCTTGCTTGGGAAGTCTTGCAGTGTTGAGTTAGCAAGAGGTTGTAGTTTGCAACCTTGCTCTGCAGTTTAGCAGACTGCTTGGCAGGCTTGAAAAGCCTTGCAGTTGGGTGTGCCTGCAGTGTTGGAGCCTTGCAGTTTGGATTTTGCAGCCTTATTTGTAGTTTGGCAGATTGGCAGGTTGGCAAGGAAGGTTGGCAAGGGCTGTAGTTTTGCAACCCTGCAGTGTTGGAGCCCTTGCAGGTTGGCAATTTTGCAACCTTGCCAGGGCCCTGCAGTTTAGCAGACTTGCTTGGAAAGTCTTGCAGTGTTGGAGCTGGCCCTACAGTGTTGGAACCTTGCAGGTTGGCAATTTTGCAACCTTGCCAGGTCTGTAGTTTGGCACCTTTGCTTGGGCAGTGCTTTGGCAGGTTGGTAGGGGTTGCAGTTTTGCAAAGCCAGTGTTGGAGCCGAAGCCCTGCCAAGTCTGTTTTGCAACCAAGGCCTGCAGCGCCTGCAGTTTAGCAGACTTGCTTTGCCAGGTCTGTAGTTTGGCAGCTTTGCTTGGGCAGTGTCTTGGAAACTCTTGAAGTTTTGAAACTTCAGGTTGCCAGCGGCTGCAGTTTTGCAAAGCCTTGCAGTGTTGCAGCCCTGGCAGGTGCGCAATTTTGCAACCGTCCCCAACAACACTGCACTTGAATGTCGACCCCAGCATATGCACATCTGTTTCTTGCAATAATGCACCGCATCTTTCTCAAAACACAGAAAATGGTCGATCTTTGGGGGGGGGGATAGCATATATATATATATATATATTGTTGTTGTTTCTCCTTCCAGTTGCTTAAGAATATGTTTTTCATTCCCCCTGGCGAAAAAACTTGGGGGTCCGAGCCATCCCTTTCTCCTTCCATTTGCTGAAGATGTTGTTTGTTGTTTTCCCCCTGTTGGTTTTAATGGGAATCTATCACCACTGGAACTATTCTTATTTTTGCCAGACGGCTTAATAAAGCAAATGGAAGTATCCCATGCCAAGGCACCCCCAGAACACGGAGCGGAAATGCCTTTTTTTGGCTACTTACTGGCCCGGTGACCCCAATTTTGGGGCCCTTGACAACCATAGAATCCAAAGAAACCTCCAAAAGTGGAAATCGATTGGCTCAATACTTTTGAAAGGAACATCCAGGCTTTTGGCATCAAAACACCGTTTTGGCGTTGGATCGATTTCCCTTTTTACCAATCCTGCCAATCCTGCCTGCCATATGAACATGTGCAAGAATCAACAAGCTCTCAATGGAAACCACTCGCAGATTGATCATTGGAAAGGGAAATCACATGGGCCCTTTGGCAGCCCAGTTTGGGCCAAAACCAGCTCTTCAACTGTTGGGGAATGTCTACTAGGTCCCCCAGTAGTGCCCTTCTCTCCCGTTTCTTTTTTGGCGGAGGGTTCCCCTACTAAAATCGACTACAGAAGAAAAAAAAGGTACCCTTATTCTAAGCTCTCCACTGACCTAGCTAAGCTCAAGAAGCCAGTCGGACTTCTAAAACTGAGGGGAGCTTGGTCATGAGATCTGGAGATCATCGGTCTCGGCCCGTTTTTGAGGCTCCGATGCTGTGCCGAAGGCTTTAAAGGGAAATCTCTTGGAAAGCCCACTGATTGGACTCATTTGTTGAGACTGCTGTGAGCAGATAGCTCAGATTGTTGTTTTTTGTTTATAGACCACTAGCCTCACGTGGAAATGGGGTATAGACCCGCTCATACTGTGAAATCAATTTCGCACCACATCGCACCGCCTACGAAACCCTGGTTTCTGATGCTTTCCCAACGAAAATACCAACAAACAATGGTTTCAACCATGCTTTCAAAGTGGGGCGAAATGGATTTCGCAACCGTCCACAGTATGGCCTTTAGATGCATGGCCTGCCAACATGTCACCTTTGAAGCCCGGTTGTGTTTTTTTTGGGACACCCCGTCTCAGCACAACGCCCAGCTGGCTTTGGGAAACCCGGATCTTTGGGCTTCCTTTCGCCTCCCTTTCACAGCCGGCGGGACCGCTCGGTGCCCGACAAACCAAGTCCGCTGGGGTGGTGACTTTCATAGGGAACCCTTTCATGGATATCATTGAGGCGGCGAGTCGTGTGAAGAAACAACTTTGAGGTGGCTCCCTCTTAAGCAACGCCATATTTTTTAGTTCCTACCCCAAGCCTGCTATTGACTTTTTCAGCGTTTGGTTTATGATCAACAAAAAGGCCGTCGGTGTGGGGTCGAAAGGTACCCACTCAGCATCCCTATGGAGAAGTTTAGGGAATTGTGAAGCTTCATATAACCATTGGTTCTAGCAACCCAACTTCCTTGGGCAAAGGGGACAACTAATCCATGGAATTGTGCCATCTACTTTCACCCAACTGTGGGTAAAGGGAAAACCAAGAGGTAAGCCTGCCCTACTTACCACGGTCTGCCATTTCCTTACGAATGTGTGTTTTCTGTTTTCACCTTATTGGTGTTAAAGGGAATCTATCACTGGAGACATGTTCTGATCTTTTCTGGTGGGCTGAACTCAGCACATGGAGGCAGTGGACTTTCTCAGCCCGCCTCTCTCACTTTGTTGAACAAAAACCTGATGGATACTTCATGTTTGGTTTGCCCGTACATATTCGTCATTTGGGTGGATCTCCACCCACCCACCCCTCCAGAAAAAGAGTCATTTTGCTTTGGCTTCCCTTGGAACCAACCTGAAAAGGGCAACCAACTCAGAACAGGGAACCTGGAGTCTCCACATCCCTCAAAAATAGGGTCATTGCACAAAATCAAGGGGTGGACGCATGTTTTAAGGGTGCATAGAGACTCCAGAACAGGGCCTTTCTCGCCTTTTTTTGGTTGGGAGGGTTCCCCTCCAATAGACAAAACCGGAAAAAAGTGGGTGCCTAGTTGTTTTGGTTTTCCCTGTTGTGTGTGGTTTGGTTTTGTCCTTTTTGGTTGCATGGTTGGTTGGTTTTGTTGGTTTGTTCCCCCAGGTTTGGGTACCACATGGCAGCCTTAGCTCGCAGCACCGAGGTGCTGGGCAGCATGCTGCGGTTTCTGCAGGGGGAGAAGGTGATGCAGGCGCGCGCCGCCGAGGCGGCGGCCAAGTTTGCGGCCCAGGAGGAGGAGGAGTTGGTGCAGAGCATGCAGGCCTGACTGTTCTGGGCAAATGGCGTTTGGTTTTTCTTGGTGTCTTGGTTCTGTTCAATTTTGGTAGGGGGCTGTTTGGTGTTTGTTTGTTTTTTGGTTCTGTTCAATTTTGGTAGGGGCTGTTTGGTGTTTGTTTGTTTGTTGGTTCTGTTCAATTTTGGTAGGGGGCTGTTTGGTGTTTGTTTGTTTTTGGTTCTGTTCAATTTTGGTAGGGGGCTGTTTGGTGTTTGTTTGTTTGTTGGTCTGTTCAATTTTGGTAGGGGGCTGTTTGGTGTTTGTTTGTTTTTTGGTTCTGTTCAATTTTGGTAGGGGGCTGGTTGGTGTTTGTTTGTTTGTTGGTTCTGTTCAATTTTGGTAGGGGGCTGTTTGGTGTTTGTTTGTTTGTTGGTTCTGTTCAATTTTGGTAGGGGGCTGTTTGGTGTTTGTTTGTTTTTTGGTTCTGTTCAATTTTGGTAGGGGGCTGTTTGGTGTTTGTTTGTTTGTTGGTTCTGTTCAATTTTGGTAGGGGGCTGTTTGGTGTTTGTTTGTTTTTTGGTTCTGTTCATTTTGGTAGGGGGCTGTTTGGTGTTTGTTTGTTTGTTGGTTCTGTTCAATTTTGGTAGGGGGCTGTTTGGTGTTTGTTTGTTTTTTGGGCAATTTTGGTAGGGGGCTTTGGTGTTTGTTTGTTGTTTGGTTTCTGTTTAATTGCAGGGGGCTGTTTGGTGTTTGTTTGTTTGTTGTTCGTTCAACGCTTTGTGCTATACCAAGGTGACTGAACACAGCGTTATGTTTGCTTTTTGTGCAGTTGTCACACTTGCCTTCGAATTTGCAGGGGGCTGCTTGCTGTTTGTTTGTTTGTTGGTTCTGTTCAAATTTTGCAGGGGCTGTTTGGTGTTTGTTTGTTTTTTGGTTCTGTTCAAATTTTGCAGGGGCTGTTTATGTTTGTTTGTTTGTTGGTTCTGTTCAAATTTTGCAGGGCTGTTTGTGTTTTGTTTGTTTTTGGTTCTGTTCCCACTTTGCAGGGGCTGTTTGTCAAGTTTGTTTGTTGGTTCTGTTCACCCCAGGGGCTGTTTGGTGTTTGTTTGTTTTTTGGTTCTGTTCAATTTTGGTAGGGGGCTGGTTGGTGTTTGTTTGTTTGTTGGTTCTGTTCAATTTTGGTAGGGGGCTGTTTGGTGTTTGTTTGTCTGTTGGTTCTGTTCAATTTTGGTAGGGGGCTGTTTGGTGTTTGTTTGTTTGTTGGTTCTGTTCAATTTTGGTAGGGGGCTGTTTGGTGTTTGTTTGTTTTTTGGTTCTGTTCAATTGTGGTAGGGGGCTGTTTGGTGTTTGTTTGTTTGTTGGTTCTGTTCAATTTTGGTAGGGGGCTGTTTGGTGTTTGTTTGTTTTTTTGGTTCCATTTTGGTAGGGGGCTGTTTGGTGTTTGTTTCTTTTTTGGTTCTGTTAAATTTGGTAGGGGGCTGTTTGGTGTTTGTTTGTTTGTTGGTTCTGTTCAATTTTGGTAGGGGGCTGTTTGGTGTTTGTTTGTTTTTTGGTTCTGTTCAATTGTGGTAGGGGGCTGTTTGGTGTTTGTTTGTTTTTGGTTCTGTTCAATTTTGGTAGGGGGCTGTTTGGTGTTTGTTTGTTTTTTGGTTCTGTTCAATTTTGGTAGGGGGCTGTTTGGTGTTTGTTTGTTTTTGGTTCTGTTCAATTTTGGTAGGGGGCTGTTTGGTGTTTGTTTGTTTGTTGGTTCTGTTCAATTTTGGTAGGGGGCTGTTTGGTGTTTGTTTGTTTTTTGGTTCTGTTCAATTTTGGTAGGGGGCTGTTTGGTGTTTGTTTGTTTTTTGGTTCTGTTCAATTTTGGTAGGGGGCTGTTTGGTGTTTGTTTGTTTGTTGGTTCTGTTCAATTTTGGTAGGGGGCTGTTTGGTGTTTGTTTGTTTGTTGGTTCTGTTCACCTTGGTAGGCTGAATCCTGGGGCATGAAATACTCTGCCTGTGGCTCGTTTGCATGGGGCTGTTTGCGGTTTGCTGTTGTTTGGTTCTGCTCAAATTTTAGGTGGGCTGCTTGGTGTTTGTTTGTTTTTTGGTTCTGCACACCTTGCAGGGGCTGTTTGTGTTTGTTTGTTTTGGTTCTGTCTGGCCTTGCAGGGGCTGTTTGGTGTTGCTTGTTTATTGGTTCTGTTCACCTGGTAGGGGCTGTTTGCGTTTGTTTGTTTTTTTGGTTCTGTTCACCCAGATGGTTGGTTGGGGCTTGTTTGTTTGTTGGTTCTGTTCAATTTGGTAGGGGCTGTTTTGGTGTTTGTTTGTTTTTGGTTCTGTTCAATTTTGGTCGGGGGCTGTTTGGTGTTTGTTTGTTTTTTGGTCCTGTTCAATTTTGGTAGGGGGCTGGTTGGTGTTTGTTTGTTTTTTGGTTCTGTTCAATTTTGGTAGGGGGCTGGTTGGTGTTTGTTTGTTTTTTGGCTCTGTTCAATTTTGGTAGGGGGCTGGTTGGTGTTTGTTTGTTTTTTTGGTTCTGTTCAATTTTGGTAGGGGGCTGTTTGGTGTTTGTTTGTTTGTTGGTTCTGTTCAATTTTGGTAGGGGGCTGGTTGGTGTTTGTTTGTTTTTTGGTTCTGTTCAATTTTGGTAGGGGGCTGGTTGGTGTTTGTTTGTTTTTTGGTTCTGTTCAATTTGGTGCAGGGGCTGTTTTGGTGGTGGTTTGTTTTTTGGTTCTGTTCAACTTCCAGTAGGGGGCTGTTTGTGTGTTTGTTTGTTTTTTGGTTCTGTTCAATTGCAGGGGGCTGTTTTGTGTTTGTTTGTTTGTTGGTTCTGTTCAACCTTGGCAGGGGCTGTTTGTGTTTGTTTGTTTTTTGGTTCTGTTCAATTTGGCAAGGGGCTGTTTGGTGTTTATGTTTGTTTGTTGGTTCTGTTCAAATTTTGGTATGGCTGTTTGGTGTTTGTTTGTTTTTGGTCCTGTTCACCTTAGAGGGGTCATTTTGGTGTTTGTTTGTTTTTTGGTTCTGTTCAAATTTTGCAGCGGCTGTTTGCGTTTGTTTGTTTGTTGTCCTTGTTCAAATTTTGTAGTGGGGCTGTTGGTGTTTTTGTTTTGGTTCTGTTCAATTTTGGTAGGGGGCTATTGGTGTTTGTTTGTTTTTTGGTTCTGTTCAAGTTTTGGTAGGGGGCTGTTTGGTGTTTGTTTGTTTGTTGGTTCTGTTCAATTTTGGTAGGGGGCTGGTTGGTGTTTGTTTGTTTTTTGGTTCTGTTCAATTTTGGTAGGGGGCTGGTTGGTGTTTGTTTGTTTTTGGTTCTGTCAGTTTTGGTAGGGGGCTGTTTGGTGTTTGTTTGTTTTTTTGTTCTATTTTGGTAGGGGGCTGTTTGGTGTTTGTTTGTTGTTTGGTTCTGTTCAATTTTGGTAGGGGGCTGTTTGGTGTTTGTTTGTTTTTTTGTTCAAGTTTGGTAGGGGGCTGTTTGGTGTTTGTTTGTTTTTTTTGGTTCTGTTCAATTTTGGTAGGGGGCTGTTTGGCGTTTGTTTGTTTTTTGGTTCTGTTCAATTTTGGTAGGGGGCTGTTTGGTGTTTGTTTGTTTGTTGGTTCTGTTCAATTTTGGTAGGGGGCTGGTTGGTGTTTGTTTGTGTTTTGGTTCTGTTCAATTTTGGTAGGGGGCTGGTTGGTGTTTGTTTGTTTTTTTGGTTCTGTTCAATTTTGGTAGGCGGCTGTTTGGTGTTTGTTTGTTTTTTGGTTCTGTTCAATTTTGGTAGGGGGATGTTTGGTGTTTGTTTGTTTTGTTGGTTCCATTTTGGTAGGGGGCTGTTTGGCGTTTGTTTGTTTTTTGGTTCTGTTCAATTTTGGTAGGGGGCTGTTTGGTGTTTGTTTGTTTTTTTGGTTCTGTTCAATTTTGGTAGGGGGCTGGTTGGTGTTTGTTTGTTTGTTGGTTCTGTTCAATTTTGGTAGGGGGCTGTTTGGTGTTTGTTTGTTTTTTGGTCTGTTCAATTTTGGTAGGGGGCTGGTTGGTGTTTGTTTGTTTTTTGGTTCTGTTCAATTTTGGTAGGGGGCTGTTTGGTGTTTGTTTGTTTGTTGGTTCTGTTCAATTTTGGTAGGGGGCTGGTTGGTGTTTGTTTGTTTTTTGGTTCTGTTCAATTTTGGTAGGGGGCTGGTTGGTGTTTGTTTGTTTTTTGGTTCTGTTCAATTTTGGTAGGGGGCTGTTTGGTGGTTGTTTGTTTGTTGGTTCTGTTCAATTTTGGTAGGGGGCTGTTTGGTGTTTGTTTGTTTTTTTGGTTCTGTTCAATTTTGGTAGGGGGCTGTTTGGTGTTTGTTTGTTTGTTGGTTCTGTTCAATGTTGGTAGGAGGCTGGTTGGTGTTTGTTTGTTTGTTGGTTCTGTTCAATTTTGGTAGGGGGCTGTTTGGTGTTTGTTTGTTTTTTGGTTCTGTTCAGTTTTGGTAGGGGGCTGGTTGGTGTTTGTTTGTTTTTTGGTTCTGTTCAATTTGGGTAGGGGGCTGTTTGGTGTTTGTTTGGTTTTTTGGTTCTGTTCAATTTTGGTAGGGGGCTGTTTGGTGTTTGTTTGTTTTTTGGTTCTATTTGGTAGGGGGCTGTTTGGTGTTTGTTTGTTTTTTGGTTCTGTTCAATTTTGGTAGGGGGCTGTTTGGTGCTTGGTTGTTTTTTGGTTCTGTTCAGTTTTGGTAGGGGGCTGGTTGGTGTTTGTTTGTTCATTGGTTGTGTTGAATTTTGGTAGGGGGCTGTTTGGTGTTTGTTTGTTTTTTGGTTCTGTTCAATTTTGGTAGGGGGCTGTTTGGTGTTTGCTTGTTTTTTTGGTTCTGTTCAATTTTGGGTAGGGGGCTGTTTGGTGTTTGTTTGTTTTGTTGGTTCTGTTCAATTTTAGTAGGGGGCTGTTTGGTGTTTGTTTGTTTTTTGGTTTTCTGCAGTTTTGGTAGGGAGCTGCCAAAGTGGTTTTGCTTTTTGTTTGTTTTTTGGGTGTCCGGGGAGGGGTTTTGCTTTTTGGGTGTTTTGTTTTTTGTTCAATTTTGGTAGGGGGCTACAAAAAAAAACCAGCCGAAAAAAGGTTTGGTGTTTGTTTGTTTTTTGGATCTGTTCAATTTTTGTTGGGGCCTGCAAAAAGCACCCAGAAGGCAAGTTGTTTGGTGTGTTTGGTTTGTTTTTCGGGGGGTTGGAAGGGAGGGAGGGAGGGGTTTTGCTTTTTTGGTGTCTTGGTTCTCTTCAATGTTACTTACACTAGTAAGTGTCCATGGGTCTCCTAAAATAGGGGCTTAAGTGGGCACTATTTGAGGCTATGTTTTGGAATACTCAACATGGCCAATGGAAAGCCGCATCCAATTTCTGCGGTTTTCCTTTGAGATAAAGCCAAATGAACGTTTCGAGGCATGCTTGCGTCAATTGGACGAGAAGGTCGCTGCTACAACTGTGGCAATTAGCCTGGCGACCATCTCACCCTCGTCCTACAGAGACGCCATCAAGGCCCTTTGCAAGCAGCTGGGAACTGCGGGAAACTACCAGCCTGTGATTGACGCGAGGCTATTGGATCTTTCACCTTGCAACTCTTGGGACAAAATGGTGTGCGTGTGTGTCTCCTCACTAACCGGCCAAAAGTTGTCAACGTGTGTGCAAAACTAGATCCACCCTGAAACCACCGAGCACCTTACATTTGCTTAAGAATATTTTGTGTTCTCCCCTGTTGGTTTCAAAGGGAATCTGTCACTGCGGGAAATATTTTCATTTTTTTCAGGGACCTTAAACAAATGGAAGGCACTCACCCAAGGAGGGGCTTGGCCGAGTTGCCCGGGAAGCTGACGAAGAGGTGATTCGTGCCCTGGTGCACTTTGTTCGGCGGGGGGACCGCGTGGTGACCAGCGCGCCGCAGATCGCCTACTTCGCCGCGGCCCTGGACGTCCTGAAGCGGATCGCATCCGCGGAAGTTCTGGAAGAGGCGTCTGCCCAGGTGATGTGGGCCTATGCCAACAAGGCGCAGGTTGCTTTAGAAACAGTTGTTATGAAAATAGTTGGTGTCATGTGTGTTTGTTTAACAAAAAAACACGTGTCTGTTCTTTGTTCGTTTTTGGTCAATTGTTCTGTGCGTTTGCTTTTGGTGACTTGAATATCACCTTGTTGCTCCATGTGCTCAGTTTGGCTCGTTCGAGCCGGGCTTGCCGTCTCGAGTGAGGCGTCCAAGACTGGTGAGAAGGAGTTCTGTCGAGCGATGGTGCCATTGAACTGCCAAGTGAAAAAGAAGGCCCGGCTTTGCAGCGACAACCCTTTTTCCTTGGTGGTTCCCAGCCATCCCCGTAGCTTTTAGTGGGGATGTCCATTTAGCCCACTAAAAGTTAAACTTTTGGCGGGAGCCCAGTTTTCCTTTGTTGTTTTCTTCCTAAAGGTGCAAGGTAGTTAGCAAGTGGTTAGTAAGCCTGGTTGTAGCCGACTTAACATGGTTACAAGCAAGTGGGTTATAACCAGGCTTACTAACCACTTGCTAAGTGCCTACCCCTTGAAGTAGGGTAGGGGTTGATTCCCCGTTCTGTTCCACCATCGCTCTTTTCAAAACACCAGCTTTGCTTTTCTGGGTGTTTGATGGTTTCCTGAAAAGAAAGTTCCCTGGCAAGAATGCGGAAGCAGTCCTTCCCTGCGATGTCAACCAAATTCTTGACTGCTGCTGGCTTGGATCTTTAGACTCTGGTTTTGTTGGTTGAAATCAAGTTGGGTTTTCCACTAAGCCCCCAAGAAGCTGTTCACTTTGTGCGGGGGGGTCGTTGCAACCAAGCACTGGGCGCTGGAAATCCCATGGGAAGGTGTTCACAGAGCTGGCCAAGGGCTTCCGGCACGCGAGCCCTGGTGTGAGAAACGCGTGCATGGAGGCAGCCGAAGCCCAAAGGAGCCGCCTCCCAAACGGAGCGAGCCCAAACGTTGGTGGCGTTTTTTGCTTGGACGTTAGGACGTCTAGGACTTTAAAATTCTTGCCAACTAAGGAGTTTTCCCGTATGAAAACCACCAAGAGTTAAGCTTTTAGCAGGGGAGCAGAAAGCAACTGAGCAAAGGAGATTATTTGAACGACAAATGGAGGTGTGTCAAAATAAGGAACAAGACAAAAATGGTGGTCCTTTCGCTTTCCCGTAAAGAAGCCACCAAACCAAATGAGCCACAATCAAAACCCGGGTAGATGAAGGTTAGTAAGAGACAATCACAAGTATAAAAAGCCGCGGCCGCCCTCTTGATCCTTTACATGGTTCTGGGTAGACCATTTCAATTCCGGGTTTTGATGACGACTCAAATGCCCTCAAGAAAAAGATGAGCCACCCAACTCCCTTTGAACCGCAGCCGATGTCAGGTCTACCGAAAGCTCAGCAGCAGGGCGCTTGACACAGCCATGGAGGTCCTCACGGACACGGCGCTGCATGAGACCCTGACCCTTGGTGGCTCCCAGCCATCCCCTTAGCCTTTTAGCCTTTTAGTGTTTAGTGGTAGTTTCCATTTAACCCACTAAAAGAGCTAACCGGGCAGCATAGAGGTCACCAACAGTTAAACTTTTAGCAGGGGATCTGAGGGCAGCCCAGGACCTTGGCGCAATGCGCTGCGCTGCAGGTGCTGCCGCGGAGTCTGGGGAAGCAGAAAGTACGTCTTAGTTTTTAAGGTTGAGTAGATATAGGACGGAGATGCCGATATTCTTCAGGGTTCAATAAAAGCGGTGTTTTTCCTTTTAACGCTTGAGTAGATGGTAAGAGCCAGAGAGTTGGTCTAAGCTGCTGTTTGGCCTAAGAGTTGAGCCAAGGATCACGGATGAGACTCGCGGAAAGGCCATCGCTGGAACACTTCTCTCCCTGGCAGATCAGGCTACAGACGTGGCAGTGAAATCTGCGGCGCTGGGGGCGATCAGGCGAGAGATGGGCGGTCCCGTCTGTCTTAAAACCCCCAAATGGTTTGAGACCGCGTCCTTTGGGTGGCCAGTTGACACAACCAAAAGAAGTAGAATCTCAACGTTGTCAAACCCCAACACAAATGGCTGGCTTGCTGTTGGTTTGCTTTAAACCACCAAAAGCAGAGTACCCCAACTTTATTTTGCGCTCCAAAAAGGGGGCTCTCAACTTCGCTTAGCTAGACTGGCGATGGTTTCAATGGACCCACTTGCAACTCAAGAGCAAAGCCAGCGCCCCTCCAGGGCCGTTCCAGATCCTAGCCTTGCTGACTCTCTTAGGCGGCATGCGCAGGACCCGTCTTTGAGTCATGGGCTCAAAGGGGCGGGTTGGTTTCATGTGCTAGGTCCCCCAGTATTGCCCTTTTACCCTTTTTTGGGGGAGGGTGTCCCTACTAACAGACTACAGAAAAAAAGAAAAAAGAAAAAAAAACTCTCTACTGGAGGACAGTGTCGTTTTCCTGTAGACAGCCCCACAAAGGACACCCTCGGGAAGCGACACGTCCAAATGAGTGTCGCCTGAATTTGGACGGGGACATCCCCCCTTGATGTGACATCCCCCCTCCCCACTAGTCTTCGGTGTTGTCTTGGTGTTGGTCTAGATTTGGTATTGCATTGGCGGCGTGGTTTTTTGTCTAGGTCCGCCAGTAGTGCCCTTTTACCCTTTTTTGGGGGACCCCTACTAAATTAGACTACAGAAAGAAGAAAAATCGGGTACCCTTATTCTAACCTCTCTACTGGAGGACCTAGTTGTGTTGGTTTAGTGTTGGTCGTGTATTGGTCTAGTTTCAAGGCCTGAGGCATATGCTGGGCAATGCTCCTCGCAGTGTTTTTGTTTTTGACGTTGAATACTGTGGATGGTTGCGAAATCCATTATCCATTTCTCACCACCCAAGAAACCTGGAATGATTCGATTCCGCCGCAAATACCAACAAACAATGGTTGCCCATAATAAGTGTCAATTATCCCCTTTGTAAACCTTAGTTTCCTTTGAAGCAATATCAATTGAATTAGGTGTTTCCTCCTCAATCTCAACAGCATGGTTTCACGGCGCTGCAGGAGTTCGTCCACAGTACCCAAGCAGTTCTCCAAGACGGAACAAGTAAAAGATGATGCCAGCCTGAAACCAGGTTCTGCAGCTTTTTGGCATTTGAAATCTCAGTTTTTCCAACGAAGAGACACCCTCCCCCCATGTTTGGTGGTAACATGGAGACAAATGCCACAGCCAAATGATTCAAGAGTGTCCGGTTCAAAGCCAGCGTTAGGACCTTGATGAGTCGGTGCGGCTTGCAGCCCTGCAAGCTCTTCTTTCGCAGCCGCTGGGAGCAGTCGAAATCTGCTTGAGGAGTTTGGAGGACGGCGATTGGCGATGGATGACTCCACCGGAAATGGTCGATGTGTTTTGTTTGTTTTTTTTCTCAAACTGGTGCAGGAGTTTGTCCATCCGCCGTATTGAAGTGGGGCGGGATCTTTTAGGGATTTCCTCTATCACTGAATATGGCCCCAAAACTTACATCCACACACACACACACACACACGCACACACGCAAACACACACACACACACACACACACACACACACACACACACACACAGAGACACAGAGACACAGACAGACAGACAGACAGGCAGACAGGCAGACAGACAGACAGACTTGCATGCATGCATACATACATACATACAGACACACACACACACACACCGATGGGTGTGTTTTGACTTTCGGGGGGGGCATCTACTGTATGTCAATTTGGAAGGACAGAGCTGGATCGCGTGCAGCTCTGGTTGCTGGTGTTTTTTGGCGACGTCTTCATGTTTAAGCACGGAGATTTGACCCGGATTGCAAACCCGATGAATTGATGATGGCTGCGAAAAGGGAAGCTGGGGTGCCCATATGCATCAACCCAAGGGTTATGAACATGCCATGTACCAAATTTGACTTTGCGATGGAATCCCAGTGGAAGAAGCGAAGCCTGGGCAATACCAGTCAACTGCTGTCCCTCAAAAGGGAGCCAACGTGTGATCCTCCACGTTGTCGGGCGTAGGTGACACCCGCTTTTGGAGGTCCGTGGCAGAAGAAAAGCTTGGACCCCCTTACCAGCCAAAACGAATCAGAAATGGAATGACCGAGAAAACCCATCCTGGTAGTGTCCTTTATTCGGAAATCCCCAGGTTCATTCCATGTCTCATTCCCCACCTATCACACCAGCCCGCCCCAAGCTTGGTGGCCCCCAGCCGTCCTCTTGGCTTTTTCTCGGCTTTTAGGGTTTAGTGGTCGTGTCCATTTAACCCACTAAAAGTTGGCCACTTTTAGCGGGGAATCTGAGGGCAGCCCAGCAAAGAGCTTGTCCTTCGTCAGGACTCCTCTTCGAAGGTCGCGCTGCTCGCCGCACAGGCGATCCCTTCGTTAGAAGTGGAAGGTCGGGAGGAGGACGTCTCACACGGCACCTGGGGTGCAAAGTTTGCATGCAGATTTGCGAGGTGTATATATATATATACATATATATATATATATGTATACTGTATATATATATATATATGTTCTTTATGGTGCCCCCTCCTGGAATTCTCGGGCGCTGGTCCAAACATTGGCATGTTTGCTGTAAAAATTCTTGTGAAGTACACTTTTCAGCTTCTAAAAATGATGCTAAAAACATGCACTATTTTTTAGACCTAAATTATAGCATCAGCACTTAGTGCAATCCAGGATGTGCTAGCACATAGCAGTTTGAAGATTAGAAGATTTTCAGAAAAGTGGTCTGAGAATCTTCAATCATCAACCTTCAATCCAGGATGTGCTGGCACATCTTGGATTGCCACAAGTACATATGTGAAGAATCCCATCAAGAGTTGTCAAAGAACCTCAAGCCTCAATTGTCAATCCAGGATGTGAAAGCAGATCCTGGATTGCCCAAGTATGGAGTCTAACAAGGCAGACAAGCAGAGCACGTTAGAGTCAAACCGTGGATCGCCGTCGGCATTTTGCCAAGGGAAACGTGGTGTTTTTGTGGAAAAGCTTTACAGCTTTTGTGGGAGTTGAGGACTGGCCAAGATGGACAATTCTCAAAAAACATCTGGAGATCTTCCATCTTCAATGCAGGTGGGGAAACCTTACAAAGTCGAGGAAAAGCTGTCAAGCTTTTTGGGAGCCAGGATTGAGGATGTTCTAAAACGAAGTCTATGGAATCTTGAATAGTTCACCTTCGATCCAGGGCAACATGACCTGAGCGAATGCTGACAACACCGCGTTTTACAGCGTTTTATGCCAAGAATAAGATCTATGTTTGAAAGCATTTGTCTGTTGTTGGTTTGGCTCAGTTCTTGCTTGGTTGAATTGAACCACATGGAGTTAGATAAGGACAAAAACCTTCATGAATGTTCTCTTGATTCCAGATTTAATTGGCCATGACATAGCTGTGTTCTCCAACTGACTTTTGCAACGCACAAGAAACTGCAACCGGTTAAAGCTGAATTTGCCTTGAACTCGAAAACGGACTAATTTTCATTTTACTCCTATACTTGAAGTTCAATAGTTGTTCTTGACAATGGTTGAATCGTAATCGACAAGTAACGCACAACTGAGATAGCTGCTTTGCAAGTTTGATTAAAATACACTTAGTTAGAATGTATATGGAATCATGTACAAACAACGAACTAACATGCAAATGCAACTGGGCAAGGACATGAAGCACTTGTATGTTTGATTTGGATGTCAGTTGCAAGTAGGATTGAGTTCCTTTCCCCCAAGTGGCTGATTTGCCGAGTTTCCTTGTAAAACAGAAATAATAAAACCAAACGGCTATTACAGGCACGATGAAGCTGCCAAAGCATGCTTCGCATACTACTCTTGTGCTGAAAGTTGTCCTTTTTGGCTGTGGACTCCAGCATGACTTTAAACGCATTTCGGGCTCGAGCTGTTTAACTAGGAGCTCCTTTTGAAGGTTGAGCTTAACTTCTGCTTGGTTTGGCTTTGCATGGAGTTGCACGTTCTGTCAGCTTCGTTCAGAGTCCTCCCAGTCTGGCCCAAAACTTGAGTTCTGGACGAACACCTGAGTATTTCAAGCGGGGGAGGAGTAGCATATATATATATATATATGTATACACCTATTTATGGATGTTTTCATTTATTTGTTTATTTGTTTTTTAATTTATGAGTACATATCTTAGTGTACCATTCCGGTACGCCGCCGGTGCGTTTGGCACGTTTGGGCGGAATTTGCTTTTGGCAGTGATGGCAAGCACAGTCTATTCCAGTGCAGTTTGCTTTTGGATGCCGCCTGGGAAAGCCAATGTAATGTGAAGACGTTGAAAGCTCTTGACCCTGTCGCGCCCCCACGCGTTCGCAAGTGGGCCGGCAAGCGGGGTCATGACGATGCTCAAGGAGCGCTTCCGCGCTATTATGCGAAAAGGTAGTACCTTTGCATGCGCTGCGACTGGGAGTCAGCCACGCATGGCCTAGCCCGACTGGTTGAGCTCGCTGCATTCACCAAGCAGTTCAAGCTCAAAGAGTATGTGAAAGCGTACAACCTGAATGAGACCGATGCGGCAGCCTTGGAAGAGTACTGCTCGGAAGCTGTGAACGCACGCAGCTTCTTGCACTACATGCCGTGGTCATGGAGGCAACTGGGCTCCAAAAGGAAAACGGCCCCCAACCCCCTGAAGACAAAATGGGGAGAGACGATGGACAGAAGACTTGTGTCACAGCGCCTTTGAAAAAACCGCCACGCCCATGTAGCGGAGTTGAGCTCTCGCCCCACTTGTGGTTCATGAGCGCAGATGCGTCGAAAGAGAATTCACTACTCAGCATTGATGTGTCCATTTGTGAGGACGAAACGTACCATTGACCACAGTCCACTTTTCCTTTGCTTGGCAGTCTGCTGCTTTTCCGGAAGCAGCGCCTTCAACGGCAAGCTGCGTGGGTTCCTGGCCTTTCAGGGATCTCCCAGGACACAGCTCGCTGTTGCAGGGAGGCTTTCGGAGATTTGTTTCGGGAGATGGCAGGCGACGAAATCTGGCGTCAAGTTTCATACATTGACTGCGGGGAGTATGTCGCCCAGCTGATGGCAAGACGGGAAACGGCGAAAGCAGAAGTCGCAGACCATTCTGGAACGAAAGGGCCTGCTTGCAGCCATCTAGGTGCGTAGGCCGCCAGCGCCTAAAAGCAAGCCCGCAAGGGCATCTCGCTTGGCTGTTACCATTTTGCTTTTTGAGGGAACCATCGTGATGCACCCAATTCTTTGATTGGACATGCGGGCACCAGTGATAGATTTAGCGGCTAACTTGCCCACAACACCAAAAACACAAGGGCGTGTTGCCGGCAGCTTACCCCACTTTTTCAAAAGAAAACTTTGACTGTCACAATGTTCCCTTCAAACCCAACCATTTTGCTTTTTGAGGCCGGCAAGGGTCCCCGCCTTTCAAACGCAGTTGGCTGTTATGATGTTGCTTTTTGAGGGCCCTTGAAAAAGCAAACCTGCAAGGATTACCCCTTCAAACCCAGTTGGTAGCGCCATGTTGCTTTTTGAGGGCCGTTGAAAAAGCAAACCATTTGAGAAAGATCCAGCTTTTGTTTTTCCCTGCCCCCCCCCCCACAAGAAAAGATAAAGGTGCTCTGATTAAAAGCAAACAGGGTCTGAACAACATGCAAAAAACGGCTTCGCAAGACCTCTGTGACGACCCTGCGCTCGGACAGCGCTATTCGTGACAGTATGTTTTGCGTTACGTTCGGATAGTACACTCAGGTTTTATTATTACACAGTTAATGTAGCAGTTGTTTGTTATATCTGCGAGTATACGCATGTGTATATAGAAACATTGGATTTCAAGATGTTCGTGTCACAAGCCGATGTACATGTGAGGGCATTTCATAGGCTTTCGCTCAAAATCATCCGGCTTTCCCAAACTCGATGCATTTCAAGAACTGGGTCTCTCTAAGTGAGCATTGTGACTTCCATTTGCTCAATGAGTATTGTGTATTTCACCCAAATTTCACCCAAACTGTGATGTTCCACAGTTACCCAAATTGGAAATCCGGACAATCCACCAAACGAATTTGGAAATCCGGACAAACTGATTTTTCCACACGTTTTATCCGCTTAGAAACTGGTTAAGAAGCGCGCCGGGCGCCAGGAGCTCGTTTTGCACCTGACACCCTTGCTCCAGCATGGTGACGTGCTGGTCCGAGAGGCCGCCGCCAACGCCCTCGGCTGCTCGAAAGAAGGCAAGGCAAATGCCTTGCGCGCCCTGGCGGCAAGGGTCGTCTTCCGTTTGGGGGTGTTGGTTTTGGTGGGGGCCCCTCAAAACTTCGGTTTTCCTGATGGTTTCCCTCAAAATTGCATTTTTCCTCTTGGGTTCCTCAAAATTGCGGGTTCTCCTGCTGATTTCCCATCAACACCGCAAAAATGGGCACCCTCAGCATGTGCTTTGACTTCCCTGCGGGTGTTAAAGGGAATCTCTCACTGGACACTATGTATCAATATGTTCTCATTTTTTCCATGGGACGAAAAAAGCAAATGGAGGTTGCGTGCATGTTACCCACGGGCGGTTTTTGAGGCCGTGTTTGACGGAGGAGACACGAGGGGAAGCAACTTGTTCGTTTCGAAAATCCGATGAGTTTGCCTTCTTTTTTGGGGAAGGGGACGCAGAAGCCCACAGCTGATGGGGGCCCAGGGACACCAGACGTGGATACCTTTGGGCCACGTATGTCAGTTCCAGCTGATTTGCTTTGGAAAAAAATCCTCAAGCTGATGGTTTTGGGAGGTATCCCTTCACCCCTGAGATGTGTCTTTTGTTTTGACACCCCAAAGTTGACCCCCGTCCGAAACCTATAGGACAATTGAGACAATTGAGATACGAAATCTAGACCAGTGTTTGCTTAAGAATATGCTTGATTTTCCCTTGTTAGTTTCATTGTCAATCTATTACTACTGGACATTGTGTGTGTTTTCGCCATGACACGAAAAAGCAAATGCAAGTAATTACACAACCATTGTAAAGGTTGACAAGGGATGACTCACAGGTTCAGAGTTTTTTCAGCACACGTTTGTTGCAGGTGCCTTGCAGCAAGAAACTGCGTGGCGGGAGCGGGAGACGGCAGTGATCTCTGCACGGCAGGAAGCCATCCGTCGCCTGACGGCTGCCATGCAAAGTTGAAAGCGTGGGGTATTCAATGGATTCCACCGTATAAAAATCCCGTTGTCTAGGTCCCCCAGTAGTGCCGTCTTGCCCTTTTGGGGGGGGTTCCCCTACTAAAAAAGACTACGGAAAAAAGGGTACCCTTATTCTAACCTCTCCACTGGAGGACCTAGTTGTTGGGTGCACACAAAACCTACAAGTCTCCCTTTTTTTTATTACAGGGCAACTGTCGACATGTTCCAGCTAGTTAAACAACCTTGTGGTGGATCTGTTGGGGCCGGAGAGGGGCTCAAACCCAATGCCGCACGAGACCCTGATTTGTAGCTTGTACAGCACCTGTGCTCAAGTCGATCCGGGCAAGTTACAACGAGTCCGCGATAAAACGAGCGAAAACCCAGGATGAAGGTCATACAGTTTGGGAAACCACCTTATATGTTCGAGAATTGCCATAACTTGCCCAGAAACGATCTATCTCTGACCCAGAGTGTTCCTGAAAGGATTACACTCCTGCGGGTTTTAGGAGTCGAGGTGAGAGTCGCAAGTCGAACATACTACATATCCAATTCTTGTCGAACATATATTTGTTCAAACAACGAAAATGCCTGTGAGAGAGCAAACAGGACCCTACGTAGGGCACCACAAGCCTCTTGCATTTGGTCAAAAACTCAGCAATATGTGTAAGATTGACATGTTCGCACGAAATACTGTTATGTTGTGCGTGAATACAACGCGAACCTTACATATAAAAACCTAAAAATACAACAGTAGAAGCCCTCAAGCTTAACTGGCTAATTTCAACCGGGTCTTTAGATTATTTCGAACAATCCTAAATACCCATCAAACAATGAGTGTTCGAGTCGAAACGTTGATAAAGCCTAAACGCTATATTGTATGGGTTATAGGTGTTGTTTTGAAGTGAGTGATTATTTGGTGGGGTAGGTTGGGTTTTGTTTTGAGTTTGGGATTTATGATTTATAATATGGGTTATTAAAATGTATGATATTTTATTATTATTGTAAAAAGCAATGAATATTAATGATATATATATATAAAAATAACATATGTATTAAAATTATTATTTAAAATAATTGGTTGTGTGTTTTATTATTAAAATATTTAAAGAGAATAATATATGGTATATTTATATATGAATTTTAAATATATTTGAAAGGTATATATTTATGATAGTTTATATTTATGAAATATTGAAATTAAGTTATTGTATAAGATATTATTATATTTATATATTGGTTAATTATATATTAAATTATTTAAAAGTAGAAAATTATAATAAAATGTGTGTTGTTGTTTTTTTTGAAATTTTAGTTGTTAATTGGTTATTAAAAGAAGGAAATTGTTTTTTTTGTTTTTTGTTTTGTTTTTGGTGTTTGTATAATTGTGGTTTATTAATGGAATTGTATTTAAGGATACTTGGAAATTGATATTTTCTTATAAAGGTAGGTATTGAGGTTGTATTTGGTAAGCCGTTATAATGTATGTCGATCGAATTGTAGTGTTTGTGGTGAACGGTTATATTTGTGTTATTTTTTTCTTTATGGTGTAAGCTCCTGCTTTTTTGTACGGCTCGGAATGTTTCGAATTTTTATCGAAATTTTAGTTATTTTTAATAATTTTAGTTAGAATTTTCGCGGTGTATTTGGTTATTGTTTTTTCTCGAATTTTTGATTGTTTTTGGCGATATGATTTTTACTCGGACGTTAAGCTCGCAAATTTCGGTGGTTTTTCGAACAAATTATCGAGCTTAATTTTGGGGAAAGTCGTTAAAAAAAAAAGAAAAAGAGGGGTATCGTTGTATTAGAGGGATGGTAGCCTTTATGTAAGAGCGTCGTTAGGCTTGTGGCGAGAGTCATTCGGAAGTTTTATGAAAAACTAGTTGGCATATGTTTAGGGATTTGGTATTATATTTACTCTATAAAACGAAACCGTGAAACTTGCTCGTCGCACTTGCGCGCGTTTTCCCGGACCGCTTTTCCGAAAAATCCCGGATATTTCGGAAAATTGGTCCGGACTGCCCCGGGAAGATGTAACCGCTTCATAATTCCTACGGATCGCTCGCCCAAATCTGTCCGGGCTACCCCGGGCATATGTACGGAAGACATAGTGGCTTCATTTTTTGTGGGGACCAATTTCCCGAAATATTCTAGATATTTCGGGAAAACGGTCCGGGAATCGCAGCCATCCACCATTTTCTTAAAATATTCCGAATATTTTAAGAACCATTTTCCCGAAATATTCCAAATATTTCGGGAAATGCTATCGTCGAAATATCCGGAATATTTCGGAAAAATGGTCTGGAGTGCGACTATCGAAATATCCGGGATATTTCGGAAAAATGGTCCGGACTTTGAACGAAGTCGTTGTGTCTTCTAGATCAAGAGTCTAGGCATATATCTCCCCATCCGTAGCCGTTGAACGAAGCCGTTGTGTCTTCCAGATAAAGAGTCGGGGCATTCCGAGAGTTTGGCGATGCGAGAAGCTGTGAGCCGCGGCCGATTGTTGCGACCAGTGGCGTTTTTCCCTATGCTTTGAGCAAAATCAGTTCTGCTTTGCTTGCACCCAGGATGTTTTCTGGTCGGTCGCGTTTTCGCTTGCGCTTGCAACAACTGCGTGCGTGGATGGATCTTTTGAGGCCAACAGCCCGCGGATCCGCTCTCACCTTGCTCAGGCGACCGCCTTTCACTGACTCTTTGGCGTGACCTTATCGTGACCAGCCCGGCCCTCAGTGCGTCTCGCGACCTGTGTTTGGAGAACGGCAGCTTGCTTTTCGCATGCGACGAGTATACATTTTTTGATACGTATGAAATGATAAAATATGTTGGCGCCTGAGTTGCAAAAAATGTCTTGCCGGCGTGGGCTCTATAAGATCTTGGCCCCTGAGAGCTTGGCCCTTTTTTGGCACCCGCCTCAACTTACCCCTAATTGCTGGTTTGGAGTGGTGGTTTGGGGATTGAACCCCTGGATCATGTTGAAGTTGAATGGGAAACCACCCCCTAACCTCCAAAACACCGATCCAAACTACCAATCCAAACCGGGCCGGTAGCAACCCGGGGTGCCCAGTCCTGCAACCACCTCCTGGCCGCGGGAGCGGCGGGGCAGCGCCGAGACAAGCGCGTGACAAACCGTTTCCCACTGGCTCGCTCCACTGGGCGAGGGCGCCAGGGGACAAGCGGCCAGCGGCCGCGTGCAACTGGGGCACGCGCAGCCGAGAGCTCGCACGCGCGTTCTTGCAGCCCGTCTGCATCACGGCTCTCGGGCTCGGAGTCGGACGCGTGCACGTGCGCAGGCGAAGCCTGTGGCATGTCGACATCAGAATCCGGCGCGCTGCGCGCCGGGGGTGTGTCTCTTTTTGTCTCTGTCTCTCTGTCCGTGTCTTTCTCTGTCTCTCTTTGTCTGTTGGTCTCTCTGTCTCTGGTATCTGTTTCTTTGTCTGTCTGTCTGTCTGTGTCTGTCTGTGCTGTGTCTGTCTGTGTCTGTGTCTGTCTGTGTCTGTCTGTGTCTGTGTGTCTGTGTCTGTTTGTGTCTGTGTCTGTGTTTCTCTGTTTCTCTGTTTCTCTGTGTCTCTGTGTTTCTGTGTCTCTGTGTCTCTGTGTCTGTCTGTTTGTGTCTGTCTGTCGGTGTCTGTCTGTCTGTGTCTGTGTGTCTGTGTCCGTGTGCTCTGTGTCTGTGTCTGTGTGTCTGTGTCTGTGTGTCTGTGTCTGTGTCTGTGTGTCTGTGTTTGTGTCTGTGGCTGTCTTTGTCTCTGTGTTTGTTTTTGTCTTTGTCTTTGTCTGTGTCTTTGTCTCTGTCTTTTTGTTTGTCTGTTTGTCTGTTTGTTTGTTTGTTTGTCTGTTTGTCTGTTTGTTTGTTTGTGTGTGCTGCGCGCCGGAGGTGTGTCTCTTTTTGTCTCTGTCTCTCTGCCGGTGTCTTTCTCTGTCTCTCTTTGTCTGTTGGTCTCTCTGTCTCTGGTATCTGTTGTCTTTGTCTGTCTGTCTGTCTGTGTCTGTCTGTCTGTCTGTCTGTGTCTGTGTCTGTGTCTGTGTCTGTGTCTGTGTCTGTGTCTGTGTCTGTGTCTGTGTCTGTGTCTGTGTCTGTGTCTGTGTCTGTGTCTGTGTCTGTGTCTGTGTCTGTGTCTGTGTTCTGTGTCTCTGTGTCTGTGTCTGTGTCTCTGTGTCTCTGTGTCTCCGTGTCTCTGTGTCTCCGTGTCTCTGTGTCTGTGTCTGTGTCTCTGTGTCTGTCTGTGTGTCTGTGTGTCTGTGTGTTGTGTGTCTGTGTGTGTGTCTGTGTGTCTGTGTGTCTGTGTGTGTTTGTGTCAGTGTGTTTGTCTTTGTCTTTGTCTTTGTTTTTGTATTTGTATTTGTTTTTGTCTGTGTCTTTGTCTTGAATTTTTGTTTGTTTGTTTGTTTGTCTGTGTGTGTGTGTGTGTGTTTGTGTGTTTGTGTGTTTGTGTTTGTCTTTGTCTTTGTTTTTGTATTTGTTTTTGTTTGTGTCTTGAATTTTTGTTTGTTTGTGTGTTTGTTTGAAATTGATATTGTATAGATTAAGCTTTATGAATTAATTGATATTTTATAGGGTAATTATTATATACGTTATTGGGATATGAAGTTCGCAAATCTTTTGGTCGTTGTGTTTATTTTATATTGGCTTGTTTTGGTTGATAGACTTATGGAGGAATAAGAAATATTTTTTATAGGATTGGAATGGTTTATTTTAAAATTGTAAATTAATTTTTATGTTATTTTTACAATAGAAATTTAATTAATTTTAATAAAGGATATTAGAAATGGATATTTAATTGATAAATTTTAGATTAATGATGAGATGAAGAAGCTTGTTGATTTCGGTTTAATTTAAGAGATTCGAATGTATGATTGATCGAAATTATATTGGTATGGTTTGTTATGGGACGAATATATTTATTAAAAAACAATAAAATGGTAGAGTAGAAAATTAATTTATTTAGATATTTTATTATTATTTTGGTTGAAATTTAAATAATTTAAGCGAAATTAATTTAGTTTTATTTGTATTTAGGATATATTTTGGTCGATGATATTTTCGTATATATTGTTATAATTATATATAAGG